CCAGGGCGCAGCGAGCAGGGCGCTGCCTCTGCTGCAGCCTGTCTGGCCAGGCCTCGGAGATCTGTGCTCCAGCGTGGTGTCCTACCTAGCAGAAACTGTTTAGGTGATGGTGGTGTTGTAAGGAGGGGAAAAAAAAAAGAAAAAAACCGAAAATCTGAAGCCTAGTCACTACTGTGGTGCTCTGGCAAGGTTAGCAGTGTGCAATATAGCTAGTTTTTGTGAGTAACGTTATTCAGGTGTAAGTGAGGCTGGTGTTTTCAGCCATTTTGGTTACATTTCAGAATGGCATCCGTATAAGCTTTTCTTCTGATAGCATATATTACTTTTCTAATTAGAAAGCCCAAACAGGCCTTTTTTATCCTTAAACTTGCACGGCAAATGACCGTGTTGGGGGTTGGGTGCTGCAAGAAGGCTGCAGGTCTGTGGCCGAAAGCAGCAAGATAAATGTTGGGTCGCCCTGTAATCGATTGCTCTGTACCCAAGGCTGCTTGTGCCTTGAGCTTTATCTAGAAGTTTTGTGACTGGCTCTACGCTGTCATGGTTGTGCAGGGGCTTCACGCACCAAGATCTGCATGACCAAGCGCTAGTAATAGTTGATGTGGGTTTGCCTTCCTGTTACAGCTGCATGGGCAAAAGCGAAGGGTGTAAGTGAATCCACCTGGAGCTCCTGCTGGCATGGAGGGACCTGCTTGGGGTAGAGGGGAAGGTGATGACAGAGTCGCCCTCATCTTGCTAACATGACTCATGGTGACAGAGTGTTAATAGCCATTAAGCACTTAAGAAGAAGGGAGCCGATGGTTTAGCTTGCTTTCACAGTCTTTGTTTCCTTTCATTTTGTTACAATGTGGGAGTTTGAGTCTTTTCTTTAAAAAGGACTGTTGCAGGTAACAAACGCGGCAAATTAACATTCCTTGACAGCAGAATCTCATTGTCATCTTGTAAGAATTGGAAGGTGTTATGTAATTGAGTTGGAATTTCAGGGGAGAAAGAGAGCAGTCTTCATCAAACTAGGATGTACTTTTATATTATGTCTAGTGGGATTTAGATGTGAGCTTCTGCTCTTGCTGGCTGCATGTTCTTGTATCTTTTGCATTGGTTTCGTGCACTTTTCTAACTACATGGCACCTGCACCTGTTCTTTTTAAAATAAATTACTTCCCTGCAGCATGCAAATGATGAAAAAATGTGTACTTGACTATCAGATCGCACAAAGAAAGCGGAGGAAAGAGAGTGAGCAGATCCATGCCTTGAATGGCAGCCTGCTGTTAGATTGTATTTTTTTTAAAATAAAATATGCTGAAGCCGTTACAATTTCTGTCCATTCTTCTTCCAGGAGATACTGTGAAATCTAATTGGATTATTTAGTTATCAGTTATGGTTTGCATGTGGCTAAGTTTTGAAGGCCTGAGATTATGGTGTGATCTACAGAAGTATTGTAAGCTTAGAGTGTGGTTACACATGCACATTTTTGGGTAGCACATTTCAAGGCTGCTTTTTCTGCTTCTGTTCTCAGTAGTTAAACAGATACAACTTGTGAAAGAAGAGAGTAGGAAATAACCTTGATCAGTTAGTTTCTCTGTGAGACCAACAAGTAGTTGTACGTTATTTTAAGAAATGGTGTTTCATCAGATAACGAATATGAGGAGGGGATGGATGGAGTGAGAACTGTTTTAACCAGTTTTACTCCTGAGAAAAATTTCCATGAAACCCGAGGCTAAAAGCTACCTGAGAGCTGAAAAATATTCCTCAGCGGGGAGGAATGAGAATACTTCTATCTTCTTCAAAGGTTTCATGTTTTCTATCAATGTGAATTTAAATGAAAAAATGTAAGAGATTTGTCAAGAACTTCAGTAAATTCTCGAATTATCCTGACTCTACCAGGAAGCAGCTGCCAAAGATGGATTTCTTCTATACTTTTAAGTACACATCATGAAGGCTGAATTTACTGTGTTGTTGCTGACTGCAATTACTAAACTCCTTTATTTTTAGGTATCTGTAGGCCGAGGATTAGATCTCACCTACCAGCTGCTGTCGAAAACCTGTCCCTTGATGATCTCTCGTAAACACTGCATTTTCCAGCAAAATGCAGAAGGACAGTGGACTGTTAAGGATAACAAGGTACAGAGATGGCTTGGAGACTTTGTATTCTGAGATGAATAGAAGAGAAAGCTTTGTTTGAGTTCAAACAGTGTATGAGCTATGATAGAGTATAAAAATGATAGAAGGCCCTTTGGAACAGATCTCTTCTGCTGTGCCCCTGTAGCAAGAGGCTTCAGTTTGCTGCAATTGGGATGCAAAACTTAACTGCTTTCTATATAGAAATTTATCTCTTGGTCTAATGGTTTTCAGGTGATTGCAGTTTTGCCCAGGGCATTTTGCATCCTGTGAGCCTGCTTTGTGTTATATTCTTGGAAAAGAAAAATGAAAGAAAAGGAATGGTTGAAGCGGTTATCGAGAGAATCTAATATTAGGAAAACCATGCTTCATGCACTGTTCAGTCAAAGAGTTTTCCCTTGGAATTTTTTCTCAGCTGATTATAGCCAAGTAATGAGATCAAGAGTCCTCAGATAACTTTCGTTTCGATTTCAGTAGTGATCTGATTTTTATATCATTGTTTATTTCCACTTTCTCATTCATGCAGAAAACTGTTTTAAAAACCCCCAAAAACTAAGACACAGGAACTTATTTGAAAACAACATTGAAAAAACAGTTACTGTTGAACAAGTCATCCAGCCTTAAAGTATTTCTGGGTCAACAACAGATAAGCCCAGAAACAGTGAAGTGGCTACTATTAAAATTATGCAGTTACACTGCTCTTAAATGAGGGTCTGTTCCAGTCCATATATGAATCCTTCAGGTTTTACATGATTGGAAACACATATGGTAGGTTAACTATCAATGTTTTTGAATTCTCACTGCTGTAATTTTACCATATTGTCTTCCTGAATGTATTTGGGATATGTCAGCTGCTAATAGCTTTGTAGTTCATCTTGAGCGTAGCTGGGTTTTATTGTTTATTTTGAAACTATTTTTTTCTGTTAGTGCTTAGTGTAACAACTTCTTTTCTGCTTTGAACATTGAATCCAGAAGACCTTTTTTTCTTCTTTTTTACATTCTCCTACCTATGGACTTTCATTCCTCCCTCCTTTTTAAATTTTTATTTATTTGTTTATTTTATGTATGCAATATAAGCTACGTTTCTTTTTTTTTCTAGTCTTTTCTTGATTTTTTTTGGGGGGGGTGATGTTAATTGTCAAGAATAATTATTGCAGTATTCTATAATCATGATCTATTGTGGAGTCTTTTGTTTAGGTAATACTTTCTTAGAACCTTTTGGATAGGTTTTCTTTTTTTCTTTTTTAATTTTCCTTATAGTTCATTCTTTTATTTCTGTGCAACTGCTTATGTTCATCTTACTCGTAGTTGCACAAAATCCGTAATGTAGCCATAATACATAGTAAATAATGTAATGATTATAAGAAACAGGACACTGTCAACAAATTGGATATTGCAAGATGTGTTTAAAGAGGTACCTTGTTCTGACTGCAGCACTGACGAGACAGGATATGTTGAGAGCATCCAGAAATAATTTTTTGAAGGTTCTGTATAACTGTATGTTGAATTTTGTTGATTTCTATCCATTTGTAGAGTTTAAATGGAGTGTGGCTCAATAAACAGCGCCTGGATCCCTTAAAACCCTATCCTATAGCTGAAGGAGACCGCATCCAGTTAGGAGTGCCTTTGGACAACAAAGAGGCTGCTGAATATGAATATGAAGTAATCAAAGATGAATGGGAGAATATCAAACCCTTCCTAGCCCAAAGAAGTGATCTGGGAAAAACTAAGAGTCCAAGAACTAAACGCAAATATAGTGTGGAAGAGTCTGAAATATCTGGATCAGAAGGCCCTTCGGATTCTAGATCCAAAAGAGACAGAGTGTCTTGTGACAGTGAACTTTCAGGTAAATCATGGGAAAGTGTAGAACAAGCCAAAAAGACAACAGAGAAGATTGATCTCAAGGTACCTACTCCTGGACCAAGTGAGGAGCACAGTGGTCCTGTGCGCTTTGAGAAAGCTGTACCTGTCGCTCATAGGGACCAGAAAGGCTCTAGCCTTGCACAGTCTTGGACTGGCTTGGAAATGCTGAGGAAAACTCTGGTAGATATAATGAAGCTGAAAGTCAAAGTGCAGGAGAAGCAGCGAGCAGTTCTGAACGTGAAGCAGAAGCGCAGGAAGTGTGCTCGGAAGGAGATCCTGGCAATGGAGCAGGAGCTGCGGGAGCTGCAGGACCAGTTGTGCCTAGAACAAGAGCAGCATCAGCAGCAAGTGGAAGAGCTGGAGAAGACATTCTGTAAAGAGCAGCAGAAACTAGAGGTATAGTGGTAATCTTTTTGGTCTGGGTGTTCTGTTTTTACGGAATGACTAATAAAAGGCTTTGATCCAAAATGAGTTACAGAACAGTACAGTAATATATTTAATAGTATTCACATTAATTGTTCCTATTAAAACCATTATAGATTTTTTTTTGCTTCCAAGCAAATACACCAAAAGAATGTGTGGAGACAGAAAGTACTGGGCTGCACAAGCAATCAGGACAAAAGTGCAAAATTTATCAGCATCTAACTTCTGAGGAAGTTGCTATATGCTTAATCTTTTCATTTGAATTGCTTAGGGAAAAGAGTTTTTTTCTTATTTGCAAAAAAAAGCCCCGCATTTACAATCCGTGAGTGTCTTTGAACACAACTGATAACTAAATCTTTGGGAGAAAAAGCTAGAAGTTTATGTATTTCTATTTGAATTTATTCAAACAGTTTAAAAGTAGTCAGAAATTAATTTTGAAGTGAGTTTGTCTTGGAGTTACCAATTCCTTCTACTGAAACCTGCTGTTTAAGGGAAGATAGGTGTATATGAAGTACAGGATGTCCGGAGTAGTATGCTAAAACACAAGGGGAGCTTCAGCTGGAACTCTAGGGTGTCTTAGCATTTTGTGCTCATAGATGGCATTGCTGCTTTTTCTCATGCTTAAGCTCTTGCTGACCTCTGCTTCTCTGAACATAGTTATTAGAGCTAGAATAATTTGAAAGTATTTCAAGGATGCAATTCTGAATGACAAAGCTGTTTTTTTGATTCATAAATGATATCCCTAATTTCTACAGAACCTGTGAAGGACTAGAAGGACTTCTTAGGAATTCACTGTGTGCTAGTGGTGTTCCTTTGCTTATATCCTCTAAAGAGAGAGCGTAGTCGTTTTCTGTCCAATGTCTTCTGTCAATCTTTTTTTAATTAAAATTTTTCTTCCAGCTAAAGAAATATTTATTTATTTATTTTCTCCAGGGAGTTAAGTGGCAACATGGGGAAGAAAACCTGAAGGAGCAACTGGCCCAGGTCCTGCAGGAGGCAAGTAGTTACAAGGCTAGGCTAGGTCTGACTGTGTAGCTGAGATACTTAAGTCTTTCCTACTGCTGTGCCATTCTGGTAGAAAACTAGGAATGTGCCTTACTTGCAAATTGGAATGGTTTTCATCTACAGAGCATACTTCTGTTGGGAAGTGGCAGGACTCCCTTTTTGAGAATTGTCTTTCTGCCCACAGTGACAGGTTTTTGTGGTCCATATGCATCAAATACCCCTTGATACTTAAGTGTGTCAGATGCACTCAAAATGGTGACGGTAAAACATATATGGAAGGCAAAATAAACTGCAGATACTGGCATGACTTTTTAACATGTCTCGAAGCACAGTGGCCTGTTAAGACAGGTTCTGAAAGCAGGTTTACAAGCCACACTTAGTAATTTATTAGTATTGGAAGGTTTGTACTAGATGACTAGAATAATAAATACACTGATTTTTATCCAGTATCAACAGCCCAGGCCTTGTTTTGAGATGTTTAAAATTGAGGTAAATGTGCCAAGATGAGAGAATGCATGCAGCCAGAACATAGCACTAAGAGCCAGCATCTCTGAAGCTGGCAGTGGTGCTTAAAAAAGAAAAGGAGTAAATGAAAGACAGTGCTAGGAAGAGAGAGGGTCAGGGCAAGCATGGAGTGATGGCAAGGCAGAGAGATTGCAGGATGGGGTAGTGCTTGGAACGTCCTAGGTCTGGGTAGGGCATTCTTAAGTTGTCCTTATATCCAAAAGCCTTTTATGCTTCTGCAAGTGGCTCAGATGGTTATGGAGTGGTTGTCTGCTTCCTCTTTGCAGGTTTTGTGCAATGTCATAGTGTGTGTAGTAATGAGGAATAATCTCCAGCGGGGTTGAGGATGAGTCTTCAGAATTTCCATATGTATCTGCCTCTTTTCAGTATATATGTCTTATATGCTCATGAAAATGAGGTTATCTTGGCACCTAGAGGTTAAATATGGCGGTGTTGCCAGATAAAACTCACAGGTTATTTAAGTCTTGAAAGCAGGTTCCAAATTTCTTGTAATTTTTTTCAAGATTTCTCTCAATCGGTTAAACTAGTTTCTAATTATTAGTGTTTCTGGTAGATTCCAGTGTGTTGTAAGCTTAAACTGTAATTAAAGGTACACAAAATACAGTAAGCCTATCCTGATTGTCCTTTGGAAACTATTATATCGTTATATAGTTTGAAAATGCTGGTAAGAGAAATGATTACCCACCGTCTGGTAGGTGGGTCAATTTTACAGCGATACTGACAGTGCCTAATACATGGCACTCATTGTCAAATTTGATTTTTTACTCATGTTCCATAATGAGTTTTATCATTACCAGTGTGAGCTTGTTTGCTGTACTCTTTATGCTTTTTTCCATTCATGCATGACTGTATGGCATATAAGTCTTGATTAATTTATCCTGTAGAACTGTGAGTCTTTACGCTTTCTCTGGGGCATAATGAAAGAGGAGGTTACCAACAATGCGCAGAGAAAGAATGACCTGGGAGAAGGAGTGCAAGTGCCATGGTATTGGGAAGGTCATAAATAACTGTCTGCTTTCAAGTGAAGGCTAAACTGCTTCTAACTTAACAAACCAATTCATACAGGCATACATTGCTTTTTAGAGGAGGATTAGCAGAAATGAGTATATGGAACCTCATGATTAAAGCTATGTTAATTTAATAGGATAGCTTATAATCGCTTTCTTCTTGAATGGCATTATTACAGCATCGTGCTTTGATGGAAGAGTTGAGCCGTAGTAAAAAAGACTTCGAGGAGATAATTCGAGCCAAGAATAAAGAACTGGAAGAAACCAAGGTAAGAATTAAAATTGAATTCTCAGTTTCATTCATAAGCGATGAGTTGAATTTAATTAAAGAGATGCTTTGTGGTGTCTTGCATTTGGAAATGAGCTCATTTCCCATCTCTGGCTATTCACTTTGGGTTTTGTCTCCTTTGCAACTCTATTGTTGTTTCAAGTGTAGCTTCAGTTGGAAGAATTCTTTCATTATTTTTAGAAGACAGAGCAGGTCTGTAGAAGCCTAATTTAACGCAAAACAACAAATTTTATTAAGGAGCTGAATGGAACAATTAGAAATATAAATTCTAATATAAATTCTAATATAAAAGGAAACGTTTGAAATTTAGGAATTTATTATTTTTAAGATATTTTGGCTAGTTGGTGTTCTGCTTTTTACATCAGGCATCAAATGAATTGTTCCTTTGTTCTTTAATTGTTCTTATTGGGATCTCATCCCAAGAAGATTTTTGAAAGAAATTTTTGAAAAGATTGGTCCAATTTGTAGGTCCCTTAGGCTAAAGGGAACTTTAATAATGGCTGCTGCTCTTGCTTGTCAGCTCTCAGCAATGGATGGGGGTATTCTCAGTACTACCTGTGACTGCAAAGAGGAGAAAGGTTTCAGATCTGCATATATAATAGATGCAGAGTTGATGTGAGAGGCCGTGCAGTTGTCTGCTCTTTTTTTTCCCCTAGCACTACCTTTGTCTCTCTATCTCCAAATTAAATAAAACATGTTAAGTATTCATCAATATGTGACCATGTGTGTTTTTTTTCCTCTAGGAGGAGAAGGAAAAGGTGAGAGCTCAAAAAGAGGAAGTGTTGAATCAGATGAATGACGTGTTAGAGAACGAGCTACAGTGCACAATCTGTTCTGAACACTTTATTGAGGTATGTTTAAAAGAGTAATAGGCTTTGCTACTAAAGAAGAAACATGAGACTCAGTAGCGCTCATAAAGCAATAGTCAGACTTGTTTCTTTAGTTCAATAGTTTAACAGTCTGAACAGGTGACCTGTGGCTGAGACCTGGCCTGGAATCGCAGTCCCTCCACCCTAAACTCCTCTTCTGGGCAGCAAGTTCTGCTGTAATGTCTTTACCTACACAGAGATGGGTGCTTACTCCCAAGATGTGTGCAGGCTTGTAGCAGTTGAGTATGTACTTTGAACTGGTGTTCTGAGTTTGTTCCCAGTAGCCTGCTCTGGGAAAAGCAATTTTGTAGACCTTGCTTTAGACTGGCTGAGGTTAGATTGCTTCTGGCCTAGGTATAGGAAGAGATTCTTAAAGGAGAGAGAGGCAATGTTCAGTCAAGTTCTGAACCACTCCTGTAGTTCAGATGAATTCTGTTTCTTGAAAGAGACACATGTTTTTAGAAGCATTGTGTGTGATTGCAGAAGTATTGTGCAAGCTATGCCTGACATGTAGGCTGATATTTTTGTTCTTGTTTTGCTAGAACTTCAGTTTTGAGTAGTAGAAATTAATATAATGAAACATGACATGTTAGCTTTGTTCTGTTGACTTAAGAACTAGTTGGCACTTTTATTTTTTGGTTTCTCAGTAACTTAAGATGTTATTCTACAGTATGCAAGTTTTTCCTTAATTCGTCTTTCTCAAATTGGGTAAACTTACGGTATCTTCCTGTCTTCACTACAAGCTTGCTATGGACTTGGGTGAATGAATTAGCCAGTCTGTAAAATTTGCCTGTACTCTGCTTTCTATAGTTTGTTCTTTATAGCCATGGAAGGCTCCTACGAAGGCTAAAGATGCTTTTGTTTTTCCGTTTTCGGTAGGCTAAAGAAAGAGGTTTTGTTTTCTTTCCCCTACGCCCCTACAAGGATACTTCCTTTTCCATTTAGGAAGTATCATGTCACTTTTCTTTGTTGTTTTTTCACTGCAGTGCTAGTGCCAGTGTGGTTGGATAAACATCCCTCCCTTGAATTTTACAGGCAGTCACGCTGAACTGTGCGCACAGCTTCTGCTCCTACTGCATTAATGAGTGGACGAAACGTAAAGTGGAGTGCCCTATCTGCAGGCAGGAGATTAAATCAAAGACACGCTCTCTCGTGCTAGACAACTGCATTGACAGGATGGTAGAAAAGCTGGACGTAGAAATGAAAGACCGCCGCCTTGCCCTTATCAGAGAGCGGAAAGGTGAGAGGTGGGTGGATGTGGCATGATGAGTACAATCTCTCTTCCCCTGTATTTTATAGAAGTTTCTTTGGCACCTATATACTAAGGAGATGCTCAAGGAATGCAACAACAGTATTGGAAAATGACCTTATATTTGTGTATGAGGCTCAATATCCATTATTGGTAGATTGATTGGGAATTAAGATTAGGAAATATTTTAAGGTATACTGTACAACTTGCTTAACAAAGTGAAAATGACTAAAAAGTCTGGACAAAGGCTTCAGTATGAATTCCACGATCTGGTGGGATGACTTAATTATACTGAAGTTTATGCTGGTTTTGAAGAGATCTCTAAAGAAAAGTCAAACTGTACAGCATGGGCCTTTAGAAATTTACCAGATGCCTTCTGGTTGATTAAATTATTGACTCCATCAATTGTAAGAAAACTTAGCAGAGCAGTGGCTCATAACAAACTCTGAATTCTCCTCCGTGTGTTAGATATGCCTAGGAGATCTCTGAAGGGAACATTGGTCTGTTGTGTTAAGTGTATGGCAGAACTGGTCCTCGATCTCCATTAGGAGCTGTTGAATTCACCACTCTAACACATTATATCTTGCCTAGTTGTAGGTAAATGACTGCATGACTGAGCAAATTCCAGTATGGGGTATTCCTGTTCTTTTCCTCTTGCAAATTTGTTTCTAGAGCCCTTCCAATGGTACATAGGTGCTGAAAAGTAGAAGTTTTTTTCTACCACCCTCCTTAAAAAAAATTCTATTACTGATTTCTCTTAAATAATTGTGTTGTTTCCCCCTTTGTAGAGGTGAGTGCATGATCTTTTATTTGCAAAGTCAAGCCTCTTAAAGTCCTTCCTTATGAGAGATGCTTTTGAAATATTTCGATTTCTCGAGGGTGTGACAGAGTGTGACATCTCTAGATAACAATTTCAAGTTACTGTGACACTGTCTGCTTGGCCGATTCAATCTGCATCCCTCAAGAAACACTACACTTCTCAGAGGCTGTCCAGCACTGCTTCATGGGTTGTTTTCACCTCTGTAGAGCTGACACTGCTCATGCTTAATGTGCACATCTGTCGAGTGCCTTACAGATGTGTGAACTGCCTTTGAGTGCACATCTGCAGAGTATGCCTTGGCACTGTTGAAGTGCCTCGTGGGGTAGTGGGCAATCCTGTAGCTTCACCGTGATACACTTCAGGGAAAAGGATGAATTGCTCCCATGCTGTTGTCTTATTCAGTGGGGGAACCACGTAGATTAAGGTGAAGGGTAGCCACCATATATCTAGTTAGACAGGAATTCCTGAGAAGAAACCAGCTGTAAGATGGGCCAAAAAGGAAACAGTGACACAGGTAGTACTAGGGAAGCACAAGCAGATGGTGGACTTCAGTGTAACAGACACCATGTGATAATTTACACTCCTTATATCCAGGTTTTGATGAGGCCTTAACAGTGTCCTGAACAAAACGCTGCTTGTTTGAGAGCACCTCATCCCGTTTTGTTCTTTCCTCCCTTCTTAACTGCAAGACCCTGTATTAGCCAGCTGCTTACGTTGCTAATTCTGCACTAGTGGAGGGGTAGGAAATGTCTCTTTCTCACCTGTGCTATCTTAACAAGAAAAAATATGTAGGAGTTAAAACTTGGATTTTTTTTTGGTTGTTTTTAAGCTTGTAAGTTTTCAAATTTGTAATTTGAAATTAAAAAATATGCAATGCAGTTTGGAAGACCTGTTGCAAACTGACAATAGGCAGCTCTAAGTCTCAAAGAGAACTAGTAATTTAGCAGTATGTGTGGGTAGAGCAGCCATCTGCTAATTCTTCTGTCTGTGTGTTTTTGTACACAGAGAAACAGAATGTGTTGGTGAACCTAGCCACAGACAATGACAACGCTATCATTACCTCCATCTACTCCATCCTGTCGATGAGCAGTTGTGATAATGAGGATTCTTGAGTACAAGGATTCGTACTGCCATAACTACTACATTATTTAAACACTACTACTGCAGACTGGTTTGCCTGTACGGCACCAGCACGACCTGATGGTGTCTGATTAACTACTGCTGGATGAGCGGACTGGACATCTGGAAGGAGAGATTCAGCGAGGAGGCTGGAGCTGAGAACTTGCTGCATTTGGAAGAAGGATTCTGTTTTTTAAATGAATGTACAGAAGCTTGATCTCCAAAGCAAAATTGGAATTGCGGGAGAAAGGAAACTTGTTTCATACTAGGTGCTTAACATACAAAACTTAGGTGTCCATGATCATTTGTGACCTACCTGGTATAATGTATTAGTGTGTTTGCATTGCTGCCCTTTGCTGGGTGAATGACATGTTTAAATGTGCGCATCAGCTTTCTCTTACTTCAGCCAGCAGAGGGAATGGCCCAAGTTATTTGAGACTGTGACCATCTCCACCAGCAGATGGAGAGCAGAGGCAGACCAGGAGAAAATGCCCTCGTGGGTGGGGAAAAAATGCCCTCTTGAGTTTTATATGGCAGCTGGAGCCATCCGAGGCTTGTCTGGCAGTAGAGGTAACACTCT